AACCTCGACAATCTCGTGTGCGGTCTTCATATCCCGAGCAAGCACCTCATGAAACTTAAGCCGGACAAGCTCCTCCTTCTTCCATTTATCATGAATCTTCTCTAACACGGCCTGCGTGATTCCTGCTTTAGGCACATTGATCCTCTCTCTCAGGTACATCCCCATCCTCCTTAGCCGCCTCAGCTCTTCGTCCTCTATCGTCAACTCAGCCAATGTCGGCGCCTTGACTCTCCTCTTCCTCAATACTCCTACCTCTCCTTCGCTCTTCTCCGCCTCATCATCACTTCTTTCCCACGGCAACTTCATCTCATCCTCATCATTCCTCTCCCTCTCCGCCAAAATCGTGTCAGGCCGTACCCACTCCCTCCTCAATAAATCCCCCAATTTCTCATCGCCGGTCACGTTCATCGAATTACGACCGTCCATTTCACCTCCCTCATCTTCTTCTTCATCCTCTTCATCATCTGATCCTAGCCCTAGGTTCCGTAGCCGAAGTACGATCCTCTCAATCGCGCTCTTCCCTTTATCTTTATCAAAATACCGGATTGTCGTTTCCTCTTCTGGCTCTTCTTGTGGCCGTTGAATTTCGTCGTCGATGGAAGGGGAGGAGGAGGGCCACTTATCGAGCCAAGGAGCCGAAGGCTTTGCGTTTTGGTGAGACCAGGGGTAAGATGAGCGGTGGTTGCCGCCGCTTCTGTTGGGACTTCCACTGCTGCTACTGTTCTGTTCTTTGGTACGGAGAGAGGATAAGGGCCTAAGGATGTGAAATGACGGTTTCGGGGCTGAGGAGAAGAAGAGAAGGTGGTTGAAGGATGGAGAGGAGTGGTGCGAGTGTGATGCGAGTGGAAGTGAGCTTCTCAGTGGCATTTCTGTTAATTTCGAGGCTGAGAGGGACATTATGATTTGACTTGTAGCTCGATTGAAGTGGTGAGCTTTTATGGTTTAGGAGCTCAGTTTCTCTCTCATCGTTTGGCTGCTGAGAAAGTTTGCAGACAGATAAGCAGTTTTTCAGTTGGGGAAGGAGATAGATAAGACTGAAATTTGGGATATTTTGGTTTGGGCTGGGCTTGGATCTGGCAAGTAACTATATTAGCTGTGGACTCATGTATCGTACTGGGGCCAATACGCTGCCGTTTTCTTAAATAATTAACTAACGAAACAAACGAAAATTTTAAAGAAAAACCAAAGAGAGAGATTTATATAGAGATACATATACTTCATTTTTTGTGGCGCAGCTCACTGAGCTCCATGTAAAAGATTTTACAAATATATAATTATTAAAAATAAAAAAAAAATAACTACTGAAAAACTGCTGGATTATATTTTGTAATAATATACATTTTATATAATTATTAAATCTTTTGAATATCAACTAGAGAATAACAATTTCTTTATGTAATAATAGAAACTTTTATTGCCATCCAAAATATACTAAAGGGTTACAAGGAGTTAACACAACTTTGCTGCTAAGAATAGATTGATTTTCCATATACAATTATTGCAGCAATAAAGTTATGGTACACTCTACAAGGATTTTATTCCTTCAACAACTGCTTACACGATCTACTTATTATGGGTTCCCGTCAACAAGCAAAAAATATATGAACACAAATATACTTGTGTGTCTATAAATATACATATGGAAGTTAAAAATATGTAGTAAGTAAATTATTTTGCAGAGGATCTTCTGTTACAAGAAGGGGAGTTGAGGAATTCTTGACCAAGCTCCTTTATCTTATTTATTAACAGGGTTTGTTCCGTCTCAAGCTGTAAAAGGTACTCTTCTTGTGTATCTTCAAGGCTTTCCAGCTCACTCAATGCAGTAGAGAGTCCTTCAAGATTGCCATCATCAATCATTGACTGAAGCTTGATGATAGTTTGCTTCATCTGAAATTCGTAAAGGCTAAGTGTCTATAAAGATTGCATAAAAGAAAATAATCTAGAGATGCAAGAATCTTTATTGTTCATATTTTCTGTATTCTAAAAGCAAATATGTAACACGACAAAGAAAACTTTTAAGGACTTTGGCGAGAACCTAGCATCCCAGAATGCTAATCTCATATCAACTAAATGTGAAGTTTTATAATGATTTATATATGTTAGGTCACAATATATATTGCAATGGAGTTTTGGGTTAGAATATAGCAAGAAATTAGAATCATTTCTGTTCTCCTTATAGCTTGGCAACTTCAGTGTTTATTTGCTTAGGTACACACACTCGATGAGGAAGTGCATAAAAAAACATAAGGATCAATTTTTATATCTATCAGGGAGCTCTATCCATAACAATAAGTTTTGAGTAGAAATTTAACTCCTACAATAACTTTTTCTTTTTCTTTTTTTTTTCTTACATAACCTACAGACCGAATTTCAGACTGAAAAGCTCTGTAGTAGAGCAACATGCAATCATTTGGACTATGGAAGTTAAGCATAGCTAAAAAGGTAAGCTCAGGCATGACAGTTTAGTAAAATGAGCTTGAATAAGAAAATGACACCAAGTTAGAGCCTGTTGTCCTGTGAACTTGGTTCGAATTTGAAGCTTAAACAATATAACATCCCAAAAGAAGCGAATAAAAAAAGAAAAAAAAAAACAAGATGCAAAGGTTCTCACCTCGCTAGAAATTTTTTGTGCATTGGGTATTGGTTGCTTCAAATCCAAACTCTGCCTCACTTGTTGTTCTGGCACTTTTTTGGTAATTTGGACATGGATCTCTCCTCTTTTCACTCCTTGGAGAGGTATCCACTTGTCAGACATCTGGTTTGGAAGCAATCCTTGATATTCTACGACACAATCGCCTATACTTGACGTTGGAAGTAAAGTATTATGGTCTTTCACATGTAACTCTAA